GGTGATGCACCAGGGGAGGTGGGCACAGTGCTGCCATGCAACAGTGCCAGGGGTGAAGGAGTCTGGGACAAGAGGCTGGTTTTCTGCCAAACAGGGACCCCAAGCCTGCCAGTGGGAAATAGGGGGACACAGTGGGGAACGTAAAACTCACAGTGTCTGTTTCCTCCCTCCGCTGCCCAGTTCCCTCCTCTGCCTGGGGCAGCCATGGTCTCCAGAGAGGCAGGGATCTAGGTGTGGAGAGCAAGTTCAGCACAATGGCCACCCCCCCTGGCCCGCTCCCCCCTTGCCTCACTCCACCCCACCTCAGCCACGCACCCCCAGCCCCACAGTCTCACCCACCTGGCTCAGCCCCTGCCCAGGTGCATAGCTGGCGTGCCAGGCATGTACAGGTGCACTCATACCACCTTGGCCTCAGTCCTCGCCTTGCTCCAGCCCCCTTAGCACCCCTGAGAGCCCCCGGCTTTGCTCCCCAAGTTCTGCACCTTCTCTCCCACCCACGACCACCAGGATCAGAAGAGTCCCCATCAGAACAGGAAGCCACACAGCCTTCACCGGAACCCAGCTGGACCATTCCACATTCCCCATCCCACCTCCCACATACCCCCTGCCCTCCTCACCCTCCCCAGTCCCCCCCAGGCTGCATAGTACACAGGTACCTTTCCCCTTGCTCCCGCCCTGGGGCTGGGCGAGTGCCGGCCAGAGGCATCTGGAGTCCATGGGGAGGCAGGCAACAAGCAGCAGCTTCCATGGTGGCAGGCAATGGTGTTCCCTCTGATGCTGCAGATCCTTGGCGAGGACACCTTTATAGCCCTGCCCTGCCAGTGACTCACAAATTCTTCAGGCAGGGGCAAGGGCAGGGGAGCAAGGGACTGGGGGTGCGGGGACAGCGGTTCTCAGGGTGTGAAATTTATCCCAGTTGTGTAAACAGAGGGTCAGGGGGAGGCTGGGGGCGGAGGGGCTGCAATCTCTGGTGGAAAAGCAAAACACAGAAGGGAAAAGTTAGACACCATTTGTGAGAAAATCCCCAGGGGGGAACAGGGAAGGGCAGAGACAATTAACAAGGATGATTAAGTAGTCTTTGTAGCCTTTTGCATAAGGGAGGGGTGACATGGGAAAGGGATGGGGAGTGCTGGGGCAGCATGATGGGCATGGGATAGGGACAGTGCAATGCCATGTGGTGGGACAGTGTGATAGGCATGCCACGGGGACAGTGTGTTATACTTGTGATGGGGACAGCGCAGCGGGCATGATGAGGACAGTGCGATGGGCATGTGATGGAGATAGTGTGATGGGCTGCAGTGGTGGTAAGCATAGAGCACTAAGGAGGCAGGTGATGGGATGCTCAAGAGAGGACAGAGAGGGAAGATAGACAGCAGGGGTGAACCCCAGGCACAGGCAGGGCAATGGTCCTGCTCAGTCATCCATGGCACCTGCTCAGATTCCCCCAGGGAGCTGCCAGGCCCTGGAGAAAGCATGTGCTTGCCTGTGCTCCCTGCCCTCTCCTTTGGCTTTTTGAGATGTGGACCATACCAGGAGGTACAGAGAAGCTTGTCAATATGAGGGTGCAAGGCTCACCTGCCCCCCGCACTGCCATGTGTCCCATCCCTGGCCACTGCTCCTGCTCAAGCGCTCAAGGTGAGGTGCCGCTGGCAGACAGGTCACCTCCTGCTCCTGGGAGGGTTTCAATTTGGGACAAGGAAAGAAAATAACAAATGGTCCCTGCTGCTGGGTCTGCTATCAACATCCAAACACCCCTGTCCAAACACTGTCCGGACCCTGCTCAGCTCTGAGCACAATTTGTCACCAGGGGCCCTCCCTGCCTCTCTCCATCTGCAGCAGCCAGTGAGCAGGAGGGGGCACGAGGCCAGCACAGCCCTCATTACTGTCTCCATTTGCTCCTCATTTGGGCCAGGAGTCTTACAACAACAAACCCCGCAGAGGAGAAGCAGGGGCTAGGAGGAGCCAACCGAAAGCCCGAGCTCACCCTGCAGCATGGGCAGTTCGACCTGCCAGCATTTCACTGCCCCTCCGACCCCACCATGGGTGGCACAGCCTGAAGCAGACGTGTGGATGGTGGCACGCAGTTGCCCACCAGCCACCAAGGCTGGCCAGAAGGGTGGCAGCAAGCGGCAGACCTGAGCCACTTAGACAAACCTACCCTGAGAATTAACAGACAACAAGCAAAATGAGGCATCCCAGCTCCCCAGTCCTTCCCGACACCGAAAGGGTTTAATGCTGATCTGCAATAAGCCTCTGATCCAGGCTGAGATTTGCAGGTGGATTTTGCAAAGCCGGAGCTGAACAATTCACAGCCCCTGATTCCCCGGGCCAGGGCCCCGGCTGCTCGCACTGCCCCAACCAGCCACCTCTGATCCCAGCCACAGCCACCCTCAGTCCCACGCCGTGTCTCCAGCCATCTCTGTAAGTACTGCAGGGCTCCGGCATGACCCTCCCGTGCCTTTTTGCCAGTACCCTCAGCACCTTGGTGTTTCTTTTGAAACAACACCCCTGAGACAGAGTGGGAGGTCTTGGTTAGCGCACAGGAAAGGAGACAGAAAGTTGAGAAACTTTGGTACCAAGCATTTGAGGTGCCACTGGGGGGGAACGGGAGAGGAACAGAGGCACTCGGCGGTGGCAGCATTCTCAGCTGGGAGCGTTCCCAGAGTGAGAGGCCATCCGCTGTCATGTTGGTGCGGTTTGGCGTGGGCTCAGTCCAGTTTCGCAAGACGGTGAGGGAAAGGGAATTTTGAAATAAGGCAGAGGGAAAACAAACCACCCCACTCCACCACCTCTGCCAAACCCCTCCATGCATGCACAGGGCTGCAGACAGGAGATGGCACCGGCAGAAAACCCCCGCTGGCAGCAGTGAGGATGAGCTGCATCCCAGTGTGCTCACCCCACTGAGGCATGGGTCACCCCACTTGGCCAGGGCACTCCCAGGAAGCATCACCAAAATGCTGCCAGCGTGCTTTACCTTGATGTAATTCTGCCCTCTGTGGACCTCTGGGCTCTCCTGGGGATGCAGGCGCCGCTGCCAAATGCGTCCCTCTCCATTGTTGTCCCCAGCAGCACTGGAAAGGCCGATAGCCATGGTTCAGTCTCAGGTAGGCACATCCCATTGTCCTGCTGGAGCCTCAGTAGCTCAGGGTGGGTGGTGGGTGGCTGCAGATGCCTTGAGTGAGCCCCATGCAGATGGCAACAAGGTGCAATCCCCCTTCATTGTCTAGGGGAGCCTCAGGGCCACCACCTGAAATTGCCTCCAGCAGGTCTCAAATAACATGATGCAGCAGTAGCTTTTTGGCTTCCTTGGTGCAGGACATCATAGAAGACAAGGGACCCCCAGGAATGCAGCGAGCACTTTCCTCCTGCCAGCAGCTGGCTCTCCATGCCTGTCCATGGCCCCAGCACAAGGGAGGGCTTTGGCATCCTTCCTGGGCAGCGCTGCTCTGCCCCTGAAGTCTGGCTGGGGAGATAGTGAAGGTGAAAGGGCACTTGGTGCTTCTCCACAGGCTTGGGTCAATCGTTAATCGGGGAGGGATTGCTTTCCACTCTTGCAGGTAACCTCTCCTCCCCCTGGCTCCCACCCACACGCCAGCACCCCTGGGAGTGGGGTGGAGCTGCGGCACAGTGAGCGGAGCTGCCGGCAGGGCCATGGGAAGGTGAGCACGCGGGAGTGAGCTACCAGCCAGCCAGGCAAGAAGCCACGAGCCCTGGGGAGGTGACAGTCAGCCTCCACCATGGTCTCCATGGGGCTCCAGCTGATGGGCTACGCCATGGCCTTCCTGGGCTACATCGGCACGCTGACGGCCACGCTGCTGCCCAGCTGGAAGACCAGCTCCTACGTTGGCTCCAGCATCGTGACAGCTGTGAGCTTCACCAAGGGGCTGTGGATGGAGTGTGCCACATACAGCACAGGCATCACCCAGTGTGACATCTACAGCTCCCTGCTCAATCTGCCCGCGGACATTCAGGCGGCCCAAGCCCTGATGGTGAGCTCCTGCGCCATCTCCTCCCTCGCCTGCGTCTTCACCGTTGTGGGCATGAGGTGCACCGTCTTCAGCCAAGGCTCACCAGGCAAGGACCGGGTGGCGGTGGCGGGCGGTGTGGCCTTCGTCCTCGGGGGGCTTCTCTGCTTCATCCCACTGGTGTGGAACATCCATGTGGTGCTGCGGGATTTCCACAACCCTGTCCTCCCCGACAGCATGAAGTTCGAGCTCGGGGAAGCGCTTTACCTGGGCATCATCTCCTCCCTCCTCTCCCTCATCGGTGGCTTTATCCTCTGCACCTCCTGCCCTGCCCAGGACTCAACCGCCAACTATGCAAGCACCTACCAGCCCCGGCCCTCCATCAGCCAGACGCAGAAGACCAAGAGTGAGCTCAACTCCTACAACCTGACAGGATACGTGTAGCAGCTGCAGGTGGGAACCGGGCTGGCACCTCTCCCAGCTCCCCAAAGCATCGGGGCTGGCACTGAGGGAGCACAGTAAGAGGAGAGGACATGGTGGCACCTCCTATGCTCAGCCCTCTTGCTCACATGCTTGGGGGATTTGTCCTTGCTCTCTCCCTGGGGATCCTGAAGGACTCCGAATCTGGCTTATATCAGTGAAGGACCCCGAATCTGGTTTCTGTTCCCTCCTCCGTGCTGCCAGCCCGCAGGCAGCCCCTGGCATAGCAGGACTCCAGCCCGCAGCTCCAGCGAGCCTGCCTAGATCAGGGTGGGTGGGCTTGTGCCCCCAGAGACCAGCCCACTGGCATCACGATTGGCATCATGGTGGGGGGGTCAGGGTGTCCGTGCGGGTCCGGAGTCACTGCTGGGGGGGGTTGAGTGCTGGTTGCAAACCGATGTCGCAATAAATCTATGTTTCTAGCCAGGCTGTGGCTGAGCTTTCCTCTGGCACCGAGGGGCCCTGGCAGCTCCTCTGGCAGGGTGGGCTGTGGTGGGGGCTGCACTTGCCCGCCTGGCAAATGCATAAGGCAGAGGGTGCCCCCGGCCCTCGCTCTGGCCAGTCCCCCACCCTCACCCCGTGGCTCTGCCACCCAGGAGCCCAGGTGGGTGGGAGTGCTGTCAGGGTACGGGGGTCACTCCCCTGCACAGTTTGTCCCTGGGCACCGCGCTGGGAGGTTGCCATGTGCCACTACTGTGAGGGTGCCAGTGGGGACAAGCGCAGCCGCTAACGGCAGGCAACACACACACACACACCCCACCCCCAGCCCTGCTCGCTTCTGAGGGTGTGGGTGTCACTGGGACGGGGGTGCCCACAGGGATATTCGCTGCCCCCTGGTGCATGTGGCACGTCAAGGTCCCCAGGCGGTGGGGAGAGCCCTGGCATCACCACATCTCCCTCCCAGGATGCTGTGAACACCAGCACCCAGGAGGCAACATGGTCCCAAGCACCCAAGGCAGCTGTTGGCCACGGCAGAGGCTGTGCACCTCAACACAGCTAGCTGCAGAGGGGTCTCACAGGCGAGTCCTGAGCCCGAGGGTCCTTACAGGGGCTGTTTTGGGAGGAAAAATGCCACCAGCGAGACATTGGTAAGCCACAGGGATAGGCAGGCAGGGGCCAAGACTGCTCCCCATGACCCACCAGCAGCAGTGGGACATGCTGTGTGGTTGCAGCCCTGGACAGCAGCAGCAGCATGACAGCTCACACAGGTGGCTGGTGGCACTGGGTGATGCTGGGAATATGCCCGGGCATGGCAGGAAGAGGAGACACAGGTGGCTCAGCCCCGCAGCCCACCGAGAAGCAAGTACATTTTAACCACTGTGCCCCTTCTGATGTTCCACCACAGGAGGTGCTATAACCCCTGCAGTGCCGTGCCGCAGCGTGGGGCCACCTGGGGCCCTCCCTGCCCCAGATTTCTGTCCCCTAGGGAGCAGGAGGCTTTGCTCTACCCACTGGCCCCTCACAAAGCAATTTAGATTAGGTCCCAGAGAGGAGGGAACCACGTTCCCCACTCAGACATCACCACCATTTCCCTTGCACCAGTGAAATCACATTTGCTGTGGGGTTAACACGCTCCTGATACCAGCAAGTCAGGCTTCCTCCCGTCCTCACCAAGCAAGGAGCCAGCCTGCATCCCACCCCCAGGGTGATGCTTGCTGGAGGGGACCAGGGTGGATTTCAACGTAAAGGCCAGTCACCCCCTTTCCATGGCCAAGGGACAAAGCACTGCCGCAGCCCTGGGCTGGCCAAGGTACTTTAGCTGCCCGGGGGAAAAGAGAGTCCTGGGTGCAGAGGACAACGGAAAGCTGCACGGGGCTCAGCCTGCCAGCTGCAGCCCCTCGGGAGATGCCATGGGTTCACTTAAGTCCTTCAGCTGTAGATGTTTTGTTTCTGGGCAGCTGATGCAGAAAGGAGGCGAGAAAATACAAGAGGTCATGCCTCTGAAGAGGAGGAATTCCTGGGCTCCGTGTCCTCACCCCTCACTTCCCACTGCAGGCTGCGGGGCCAGACCGCGCTGCCTGTGTCTGCAGGCAGGGGCTCTGCTAATTAAACAAAGGGGCATTTGAAACGCTCAATTCAGAGTTTGATTGCTGCCAGGCTTATTAACACTAATTAAAGCAGCAGAAGAGAAGATTTGTGGTTTTAGAGGAGTCAGCTTTTGCACAGCTTCCCCCTGAAGGAGCGAGGCAGCAGGCACAGGCAAAGGCAGGCAGAGCAAGGAGCCTGGGCACAGAAACACCCGTGGTTTGGACAGACAAGCACAGGGCAGAGACCCTGCAAGAGGCTCCAACATCCCCAACAGCCCCTCGGGTTTCTTTCCCACCTGTGCAACACCAGACCCCCATTCCGTGGGTGCAGCACACTGGCGTCAGCTGCAGCACAGCAGGAGAGGAGCTGATGAACATCCCACTGAAGAGACCATGCCTCTGGTCCTGCCAAGGAGGAGCCCCTGCATTAACCATGGGTTGGCTCAGAGAAGTGAAGGTTTCTCCCCTCCAGCTTTCCTGGCCTTTAACTTGAACGCATCCAAAGATGCGAAACTTGGCTACAGGTCAAGGCAAGTTGAAAAGGATTTTCCACTTCTTTACCAACAGGAGCAGAGGACAGGGAAGGGAAGGGGACACCAAGTGCACAAATGCGGTGGTTATCTCTGTCTCGTGCAACAGCCACGATCCCCGTTACCGATAAGCCGGGTCCTCGAGGGCAGGCTGGATACGGGCCAGCCCAGGGCCAGAGAGGACGGGAGCTCCGTCTGCCCCGGGAGCCGGCTCTGCTGATGGTGAGCATGAGGGGAGTGGCGGAGCCCAGCCAGCCTGCACGGCACGGAACCAGCCCCTCGGGTCGCCTCTTGCCCCTCACCAGCTCCCACAGGGCAACTACAGAGGACAGAAGCAGGATGCGAAAGGGACAGGCAGCCAGGGGGAAAGCAGAGCTCGGGTAGGAAGAGGGCTGGGTGGGGAAGGGCTCCCTCCTCCGAGCTCCCGGGCCAGAGCCCTCGCCTCGCAGGACAGCATGGTGGAGCAGGAAGCCTCACAGCCCTTTGCTAGAGGGCCAGGCTGCAATGACTAATCCCCTGTCATAAGGAAATGAGTCCTTCTCCTCTCTTCTTCTTGCTCTAGATGATGCCTCAGATGAAGAAAAAGGGCAATAAAATACGAACATGCCCTTATCTTCAAAAGCAATAAAGGCACCGTAAACGCCCAGCACACGCCAACCCGCAGCTGCACCTGGGCCAGGGCTGCAACATCATCGGATGGTTGTGAGAAACATGCAAAAAGTCCCAACTTCCAAAGAGGAACAACACATGCTCATCACCTTTGCAGCCAGCCCTTGCCCACCAGGGACCCCCACCCACCACCCACAGCACCCCTGGTGATGCCCTGGCCAAAGCACCCTCTTGCTTCCCTGGCCCAGCAGTGCCCGGCCACTGTCCCAAGCAAGTGGAGCCTCTTCTTGTGCAGAGCACTGGGCAAGGATGCCCAGAGGACGAAAGGCACAGGTTTGTCCCAGACCTGGCCAGATCCCACGCCTCCTGCCTCCCTGGAGCCTTCCGGGCAAACAGAGCTTAGCTCCTTCTGGCATGCCCAACCTGCCTGTCATTCCTGCCTAGCACAGCTGATCTGAAGCAGCAGCAAATAATCCATGCAAGCTCTCTGAGGAGTATCAGGCCAGGTGCTGGGAAAGCCTGTCTCTGCCTGTATCCCCCGGGAAGTGCTCAGATAGGAGAGGCGGGAGCGGGAAGAAAATTCAGGCCAAGTTCCTGGTGAGCTGAGGCACTTAGAAAAGACCTCCACATTCCACCACCCTCCTCCAAGCCACGGCACACTCCCAGCTGCCTCCCACACTGTGCTGGAGCCTCCCAGGCCCTCAGCAAACCAGGCCGGTGTGGAAGAGGACAACCTCTTCCTACCCATGGCATTGCAGCAGCCTTTTCAGGAGCAGCAGAGAATGTGCTATGGAGAGGGGCTGCTCTGAGGCACTTCAAATCCTGACTCCTAGGCTGGGTTAAGTGACAGCTCAAGTCATGGACTGTGCTGGTGGGAATGGGAGATGCACTCCCCACCCCAGCCATGCCCAGGCCCCGCCTGATGTCCCCACTGGTGGCCACGCTCTAGCCCAGAGAACAGCCCCATGGTTTCACCTCAGATGTTCAGCTGGCAATTGCACTCACACTTTACCTCCAAAGGCTTCCTGCTCTCCCAAAGCCTTGGGGATGGCCCCATCCGGAGTCACACAGCCGGGACACTGCCATGAGACCGCTGGTGCCTGGCTCTTCTGGTTTTAATGGGAGACGCTGCAATGGACGTGAGGGGTAGTGAGGAACCAGCTCCTTTTTGGAAAACACCTTCAGTCGGAGGAAAAGCCTGTTCCCAAACACACGGCTTTCCATAGCCACCTGGAAGAGACCTGTTTAAAGGCACTTTAAAGGATCTTTTCGATCTTTAAAGAAAGATATGAGGGAAACAGGGCAGAATGAACTCCATGACACCACAGGGGACAGAGACCTTTGGGTGCCCCAGAGGAGATTGCTAGAAACCACCTTCCTGGCTGCGTTTGAACAACAGCTCAGAAATCTATCAGGAGAGTTATAAAAAGTGTTTACCTTGGAAAACCGTGATATCTGTGAAGAGGACAGGGAGGTTTGATCTTTCAGGCGTTACATTAACATCACAATTAGACTGCTCCATAATTTGAGTCTCATCTACGCTGGAAGAGCTTCAGTTTAGTGATCTCAGCAAACCTAGCATGCATGCAATCTGTAGCACTGATAGCAGGCTTTATCAGTAAAACCTACACCAATTCAACAAGCAAAATAAGATTTACCAGCAAGACACACTTTTATAGTGGTGTAAACATAATCTCTTCCAGGGATTTTACAGAAATATTGGTGAAAACAGACTCCATCTCTAGCCAAAATCTGCCCTGGAGAACTGGCCTAGAGAACTGGCAAGAAATTGTCCTGC